ATGCGTACCGAACCGAAAGCACAGTATCTAACGGTTCAATATCGATACAAGTATCGTTGCACCCCTAATAAATATATAGACTACATCTAATGGGTGACATATTTGTGGGTTTGTTTTCTTTTTGTTTGTTTTTTTGAATGGTGATGAGTCATTCAGAATGATTGATTTGCGATTGGTTTGTTTTTTGCTAAAGTTATTGTCATGCTGGTGCCCTGCGAGGGATCGGAGACCTACGTCAACGGCAAGCGTGTTGAGGACTCGATCCAGCTTCGTTCAGGTATGTGTGTAGAAAGTTTTCTATACAAACTGTGAATATTTGCGTGATGTCTGTAAGCAGATATGATGTAACTAATTTCCTAATGCCCAAATTATGAAATGTATTGATGACCTGTAGCGTTTAAGAAATTTTTTTTCATGCTTGTGCTGCCTTCTTTAAGGCAATCGCATCATTATGGGAAAGAACCACGTGTTCCGGTTCAACCACCCAGAGCAGGCCAGAGCTGAAAGGGAGAAGACGCCATCGGCCGAAACCCCCGTGGAGCCCGTCGATTGGACATTTGCTCAGAGAGAACTTCTGGAGAAACAGGGCATTGACATGAAGCAGGAAATGGAGAAAAGGTAATCAATCTATGACGTTCATTTATTTTAAATATGTGAGTAGTCGTTTGGCATTAAATGTGGATTGTTTGATGTGTTTCAAAACTTTTATTTTACTCTGCTGTGTAGACTCACTGAGATGGAAATCTTGTACAAAAAAGAGAAGGAAGAAGCCGATCAGCTTCTGGAGCAGCAGCGACTGGTGAGTTCAAATAAGCCCCTTTTGTGAATTTAAAGAACTCACTCTGTTTTTTGTTATCAAAGATGTTTTAAACCAGTTAGTAATAAGTGCAGAGTGGGTGTAAAAGGAGCTGTAGCTTTTGTTAAAGTTAATGAAATTGCTACTAGACGCAGCCTATTGAGTGAACGTGCTAGTTTGGGATATTTTGTGTGTGATTGTTTTTTTGATGTACTTCAGGCCATCTCTTGTGGATTTCAAAGTAAAAGTATCTCCAAAGCTACGATCAGTTACAATTTGACAGCTTGTTTCTTTGGATGATGGTTTCATTTGGTCCTTTTAAATCTCACTAGTACTAATTCTCACTCCGAGCTCTGACACTTTGAGATGTTTATGTGTGAATCACACTTTTACTCCTAGCGCATGTCTGTTCTTTTTGCATGGAAGTTTTTCTGGTTTGAGACTGATAAGCTTTTACTGGCTGTCCTCTTGTGTTCAACAATTTATTTATTTTTTTCTGTAGCAGCTTGATTGAGCAAGAATTAGACTGTAAAGCTTTCCCCTTTCCAAACCCCTGTTTTCCCCTTTCTTGTGTCTTCTTTAGTGGATCTGAATCTTGCAAAACAGCAACTTGCAGCTAAAATTGATTTGATATGAAGATCAAATTTCCTTTAAAACCGATTCAGCATTTATCAGCATCGAAAAACATGTTAAAAAGTGCCGCTGCTTTTGCATGGTTCATTTTAATAGCATGTTTTCTTAACTCATTCAGTACTGGTTGTGGACTAAGTTGCAGTGTTTGCCGGAGCTGGTCAACTCTGAAGTGGCTGTTGATTTGCTTGGATTAGATTTCTACTCTAGTTTTCTTACTCTGTTTTGTCCTGAGTTTCATCTCTTCAATGCAGTTGCAGATATGTACAATGCATTGTGATAACAACAATTTCTGCTGTAGTTTTTGACAGATAGTGACAATGTGGTTTCTCATTGACTTCTTTGGCATCTGTGAGGGCACGACTGAACAACAGTTACCACTGCTCACAGTTAACTCAGTGAATCACGGGGCCTCGTTCACATCCTGGTGGTTTTATATGTGCAGAATTACACACAGAGGGTTCAGACTCCCAGGGACATAACACGTCCAATTCTTCCCAAAGATACGTACAGTCTCATACACACAATCGAAATGATCTCTACTGGTTGTGATCTGTAATGTATGCTGTCTCCAAAAAATGAGAAACTGCATTTTTTTTTTTTCCCTCCAACTAACAACTTTCTTGTAGTGGATTAACACTTATCCGCACTTCTGCATCTCCTCTCTCTACTGGCTTTCTGATCAACTGCAAGAACACTGTCTGCTAACTTACCACTAATACTAAAGCCACTCAAACCTTCTGGACTAAAGGGGGAAAGCTCCAGAATTCATCTACATGCATGCTGCTGTAGCATGTTTGGGATCCAACTCACAAAATTTTCCACTAAGAAGAGGAATATCACAAAACAGTACAGATGTGCTCCAATCAGCAACTATCATCATTGATATTTTCTTTCTAATCATGATAGACATGCTTTACCTTTAATATCAATATGCAACACTGGGAACAAAAAGGTCCAAAAAGGACACATCCATTTCAGACATATAAAAAGTTTTTAGCGAGTGTTGTGTTGAACATGAATTTATATCCATAGCGCCGTTTCGGTGGAGAAGTTAGAGAGGGAAAACTGACAAGAAAGTCAATGGAAGCCACTGTTTCTTGTGAATTAATTTTCCCCGTTTCTATAGCTTTATTTTCAGCATAACTTTAAAAAATAATCTTGCATGTTGCCATACATCTTGTATAATAATGATGTATGCAAAATGTTTCTAATATTAGTGTAATTGTCACCTTTGGTTAAAAATCCAGAATTTGGAAATGCTGTCTGCGCTTAAGACAGAACGTAATCTTCTGATATAACTTTGACTCTTGGTTGGTGTTCCCTTGTTGCATATTTATATGTTCATTCTTTTTTTTTTCTTTTTTAAAAGCCATCTTTTCATCCTCTCCCTGATTTCCCATTGTAATTTCTCCTTTTTTTGGGGGGGACCCATCTGGTTTGTGTCCTGTGTTGTTTTCTCAAGGATGGAGACTCTGATAGTGGGGATGACTCAGATAAGAGGTCTTGCGAAGAGAGCTGGAGACTGATCACTTCCCTGAGGGAAAAGCTACCTCCCAGCAAGCTCCAAACCATAGTGAAAAAGTGTGGATTACCCAGCAGTGGGAAAAGAAGAGAGCCAGTGAAAATGTACCAGATCCCTCAGCGGCGCCGCATCACCAAGGACTCTAAGTGGGTCACCATTTCTGACCTGAAGATCCAGGCAGTCAAAGAAATCTGCTACGAAGTGGCGCTCAATGACTTCCGTCACACACGGCAGGAAATTGAGGCATTGGCTATTGTAAAGATGAAGGAGCTTTGCGCTAGCTATGGCAAGAAGGACCCCAACGAGCGGGACTCGTGGAGGGCGGTGGCTCGGGATGTTTGGGACACTGTAGGGGTTGGTGACGAGCGCATTGAGGATGTCATGACCAATGGGTCTCGACCCGGAGGAGTTGTTATGGACGAACTAAAAGTGCACATTGATAAACTCGAGGACATCCTGCAGGAGGTGAAGAAACAGAATAACATGAAGGATGAGGAGATCCGCGCCCTCAGGAATAAGATGGTTAAAATGGAAAAGGTCCTACCGCTCATAACCCCAGAGGGCCAAGAAAAGCCTCCCATTGTAGGTCCCTCTACTTGTGAAGCAAGAACTCCAAGCCCTCAGGAAGGAAAACTACCTGTGCCTGAAAAGCCTGATGAAGAAGATGCAGATTCACTAACAGGTCAAAGTATGGCAGATGATTCAACGCTAAAGCGAGGCCACATGCGCTGGATGCGTCAAGAGCAGCTTCGCCTCAAGAATCTACAGCAACAAGAGATCTCCAAGCAGCTCCGCCGGCATCCCGGGCCTCATCGCTTTATACCACCAGAAGACCGTAAATTACGCTTCCCCTTCAAAAGTAATCCAAAGCACCGTAACTCGTGGAGCCCGGGTACTCATATCATAATTACAGATGAGCAGGTTATAGAGTTAAAGGTGCCCAAAGAAGCTGTAGAGGAAGAGGAGGCAGAAAGCCTAGCTGGAGAAGATGTACAGTGTAGCGATAAGATGGCTGCTTCAGTTATCCAAGTCTCTCCAGCGCTGCAAAGCCCATCAGTTCAGCGCAGAAGCAAGGACTCTGACCAAGGTTTAAACCAGGGTCACAGGCATAACTATAGGAACAACCAACATCAGCAGCTGCACGAACGAGGCCGCAGCAACTCCTTTAATCACCGTCAGCGTCCCTCGGGCTCCATGGAGTCACTGCAGCAGTCTGAAAGCAACAGGAGGTATACGCAGGCTTTCTACCAGCCCCGCCACTATCAGAACCAGCCAGCACATCCCCAGCCTCACCACCACCAACAGCCATGCCACTATAACGGCGCGATGTATGCCGATGGCGGCTTCAATGGTTACCAGCATTACCATCACACTGACCATCCTAACCATCCAGTCACCTTTCAGCCACCTCCACGAATGCGCAGGCAAATGTCTGTTCCTAACCTAAAAGCCAGCAGAGAGACGACGGTCTGAGTGGGACTTGAGGAGTGAGGAAGTAGATTGACAGACTTTTAGTAGGCAAACACATTACAGATCACAACAGCTCTGACAAAAGTGACTGTGACTATTGCACTAGATCGGTGTTACTGGTTGATCCAAGTATTGTATGTATTATATATAAATATATAAAAAAAAGAGACATTTTATCACCATCAGTATCATCATATGAAATTTTTATCATTTGTTTTCTGCATCGTGTGCATTGTCATCACTGTCACTGGGATTCAAAGGATTCAAAGCCAACAGATAATTTTTTTAACATGTCACGCCTACTCTTCATTTATCAGCATGTGTGACAAGTTGATGAATCACACTTTGATTTGCCAAATTACTTTCACGGTCGAATTTCTGAGTTTACATTATTGCCATTTTAGTATTGATGAAAGTAGAGTGTTGTGTTTTTTTTTGTTTGTTTTTTTTAAATGGCCACTGTGACATGAACATAGTGACGTGTCCAATACGCATTTTTGTTGGTGCCCACTTTAGCAACAGAACACACCCAGTGTTTTATCTACGTACTGTTGAGCTGCACGGTAGGATGGGAGAATCAGTTGTCTTTAGCACGATCATGTTTACCTCATAAAGCATTTTGTTATAACGCATCATTGGCCTAGATCTGGAATCAAAAGACCACTTGAGGAATAACTTGAAGCACCAGTCAATCGTGTGCCTTTTAAACAGACTGACATATAAAAGTGGTTTTTTTTTAAAGTGCCTTTTTAGATGCTCTGACTCTATTAATCCTGCTCTGCCTTTGCAATTCAGTATTTTCTTTGCCTTCCTTTTAATTCAGTGCCTTCGGACAGGTTTGCAGATTAATTTTGTAAAGGAAGCTTCATACCTTACCTAACCAAAACTAACTTTTTATCAATAACATACTGACTTATACATTTTTTAGTAATCATCTTATTTGCTTGATTACAAACTTTTTCCTGTCTTTCTTTTTACTTCACAGTTTAACCAAAAACAAAAAAAAACTTCAAATATGTAGCTACCAACTACTTACATGACAGTGTTTTGCATTTCCTCACTTCACGGATAAGCTGCATAATTTGTTATTGACTGCACTAATTTTTAAAGATACTAAGTTCTTTTAAAAATATGTTTTTAAAGCAGACCAAGTCCAAAAAAGGTTTTAAAACATGTCCATGAGTTTTGGAGCTCACTAAAGACGCGCCGAAATGCAAGAACCGCTACGCTGAAAAGCACAGAGAGCACCCTCGATTGTACGTGAATGCAAATTGTATCCATTTCAAAGTTTCACTGAATAGTTTCCCCTTTTCTTTCTGCATGAAGCACTCAGTCTGGTTAAAATTACATTTTAGGTTTGTGGCTCATTGAGTAAGCACAGAGTTCACTGTGTTTCGGATGGATGCCCTACAGAGTGTTGTCAGGGTTCCCAAAGACTCGCCCTAAAAATGTTGGAAGCAGGACAAAGACTTGAAATGTTTGCATAATGGTATTCAGAGGAAATGTCCATATCAAATGAGATTTTTGTTTTTTTTAAGGACTGCCTTGTTTTTAGCTGCGTATTTACACAACCGAGACAGATATGGGTGTGATGGTCTGTGAAATCTGTTGCCCATGTTAATAACTTCAGTAGTCTGTATCAGTGTTTTTGCCTCTGTGCTTTAGCGTGTGCGTATTTGCCTACCTTTTTAATCGGCCTGTTGTCTGCTGCATTTTTAGCTTTAAAAGAACCCCCATTAATTATTAACATTAGATATCAGATGGTCTTCAAATTATTTCAGACAAACAGCGACACTCACAGCAGGACGGGAGAGACCTTTGAGGACTATCATATTGTTAAGCCTGGGATTTGAATTTATTTTCTTTTTTATGCTCTTAAGTTTTGACGGTATAAATTCTGCCTTACTATGCTGTAACAAAAAAACCAAATGACATGACATATTCAGCCAGCCTTCCCCTCATATGTCTGACTATCAGTGCATGGAGTAGCTTACATTTCCTCAGCCCTGATGAATCTATTAAAAGAAAGTTGTTTAACATAAGCTCTGGTGCAGATGGTGACCGGGTAAGCTGGACAGTGTACAGCATCAAATGAACCACCGTGTGTACAGCTCTGAAATCTGCATTTATAAGTGTGCTAGGTCTCTGTGTCTGAGTGTCGTACATCTTGTGTTTTTTGAACCTACAACCACATAAAGTGCCTCATTGTGGCTGTGTACCGAGTTGCGTTGCTCCTTGATAGAGCACATTAACATTGAACAGTATTGTTCACTGGTTTTCATAAAGGATATACCACAACTATGTGTTTTATTGTCAAGGTATGAATGAAATGAAATAAAATGACATGATCCATGTGCAGTTGTTTGTTACATATTGCTGGTATTTGTTTTCCACTACCACTAAACCTAAATAGGAGTAGAATCTGCATGTAGGCAGCGTGCAGGGTTAATAATTTGCAACAGTCAGGTTAAAGGTGCTTAACGTGTCCTTCTAATAAACTCTAAATAAGCTTCGAGTTGATCGGTGAAACTTTCATGCTGGATTTCCACGGGCTCCTTAAACGAGGAGACGTCAGCTTGCTGGTAGGAGTTCAGCAGACAAATGAAAAGGCTGCATTGTCTTCTCAGAAGACTGTGAACAAACAGGATGAGGTCATTGGGAACACAGCCTGTCCTGATGATGATGATGGCGCCCCTCATTGGATTACAGTTGACTCAGCTTCTACCGGCACCTCTCTGCTTCCACTCATACCACTGCTCTCAGATGCTTTTTTCCTCATTGATCAGTATAGAAAGTATCCCACAGTTTATGCTCTTACATACTTACAAAGGAGATGGTTTCTAATTTGTTGTACTGGTGAAGAGCTGAGCGATCCACATAATTAGAACTTTATTGAATCTCTTTAGTCCTGGATTTAATAATATCTTAGTTTCATGGACAGTAGAAATATCTTTTTTTTCCTTTGTAATGATGCATTAATTGCTTATGTGAAACATATTTATCTAGAAATTCATAATATAAGGGTAGGGCTCACAATCTAATAACTATAAACCAGTTTAATGCTATTACACATCCAGAAGCGCGCGTCATTTGGCTTCATAATCGGTCTTCAGTGCTCGTTTTTCACAAATAAAACCCTCGTTGGGTTGGCGTCACCTGTTGTTGCGGCTGATGGACAGTTTTCCACGTTCTCTCTCCTCTTCCCTGTGTTGGTGTCCAGGTTTACGAGAGCAAATTGCAGGAGCTTCAGAAACAGGTGGAGACTCGCTCACTGATAGCTGAGACACCCGATGAAGAAGAGTTGGAGGAGGAGGAGGAAGAGGAAGGTGTGTAGTATGCATTTTCAGACCTGAAGATGATTGTTTTTCCGGTACACACTACATGTAATGCTAAAATATATATATGTGTATATATAGATATATATGTGTGGGTGAGTGCGTGTGTGTTTATTTTAATATAAATATATAAATGAACTGTGTCTGTTTTCTTCCACACTTTGTGTCCAGAGCCTAAACTCCTTGGATGTGCGTATAGTATTTACATATCCATAATATCACTTTCATTCAGATTCAAGTATTTTAATAGTGCCACATTAATTACCCATTGAAGGTATTAACAGAAAACTAGCTCAAAACTAGTACATCCTCTAGTCCATGCACAATAAAACATACTACTAATGGTATATGTTGTTTTACATAAATGTATATATTACTTTTACTAAACCTCTGTTTAACCAAAAAAATCCATTGAAATTTTTTTTTTTTTTTTCAAGGGAGACCAGGTCAGAAATGCTCATCATTATGAAGTCTAAAGGACCATACTTATTCAGCCCAGTGATGACAGATTGTCATTAAATCACTCTTTCAGGTTTCAGAGCATGCCTCTGTGCTGGTTTCCATCATTTTAAGTCTGGATGAAAGACTGGTAATAACCAGCGATGGGTCATTAATTAATTTAGTCTTAATCTCATCCATCTAGGTGGCACATTAGTCAAAATGAAACCTAATGTGAATACAGGCTCTGTCATGTTTAAAGGGGTTCTATTTATTCGACAAAACCGAACCTTTATGCTCAGATTGTAGTTTCATACAAGAAACCTCTTAGTTTTGGTTCTTGACGCATACGTTTGTAAGTTTCATGCTTTTCTGGAACTTTTTTCATTAATTCTGTTTGAGGGCCTTAAAAAGAAACTGTTGATACTGCAGTCAGTGCCTACAAGTAATGTTACCTTCAAAGTAAAGTTGACAAAATGCTATAACTGAGAGATCCTCTTGAATTTCAAGCATTAATGCTAAGTAGGATAGATCTGTGGCTGGGCTAAATCAAAGCTATGGTCCTTTTGGGTTTTATGATTATTTGATTTGTAAGGTTTAATAACTGCTGTATTTATCTTGATAACGCCCCCTCTGTCTTTTGTATCCGCACAGTGCCGTGGACTCAGCATGAGTTTGAGCTGGCTCAGTGGGCCTTCAGGAAGTGGAGGTACCATCAGTTCACCTCCCTTCGAGATCAGCTGTGGGGAAATGCCGTCTACCTAAAAGAGGCTAACGCCATCAGTGTGGAACTGAAGAAGAAAGTAAGTGAATTGGTATTTCTCTTTATTTACCTTGAAGTGAATCACCCTCATAGCAATAATCTGTCATTTTCTACGTATTTCACTGACACCTAAACACAAACCCACATGACACACCCTCAGGCCTGGGAGAGTGTCACAAGGGAAGCGCCTGATGACGTTAATGGGTCAGAGGATGTTAGACTTAAAGGTTGCTGCATAAAATATTTTCCATATAATAATGACTTACAGGTTCCTAGCATTATTTTAGGGTTTGCAGAGTGTGCTTAGATAACTTAGTGTTAAAATAAAATATTATCATCCTTACACTATATGCTGTTTCCCCGCCTCTTTTTCAGCTCTGTAAAAAGAAAAGTTCCATTTTAGCTCCTTATTTATTTAAAGCCCTCCTCTCAAGAAGCCCCGTTTATATAATACAGCTTCATCAAGATGGGAACAGCCATCTGAGAGCTGTCGGCTGGCAATAAAGCCCACAAAGAGGATAGACTCGTTCAGTACAAAATGTTTTCATGCAGCGGTGTTGACATTTCAGAAATTACTTGTATTGTGACCATAGACTTTTCTTATGCATGCTTCCCTCTACAGTTTCATTGTGCATGTTCAATGACAATAAAAGGCTATTCTATTCTATTTGTCTATTTTATATGTTTGTTGGCTTAGCATTGCATTTCCCACACAGGTCTGTTGTGTTTGGCTAGTGCTAATTGTGGCCACATTAGCGTGCAGCATGCTAACACAAAATTAAAAGTGATGCAGGCCTTCAGTTTTTTTAGATTTTAGCAGTAGACCATTTTGGTGTTCTTTGGATGTGGTTGATACATTTTAAAGAACCAGCAAAAAAATAAATAAAAATGGCGACACCCTCCTTGTTAAAGGAGGTGTCGCCTCACTGTAAGAAGCTTCCTGTTTTTGATCTTATCTGGACACCCAAGTTTGTGCATGCGACAGCTCGAGAACAATGCAGAGTAGCAGTTTCAAATTGATAACATTGGTGTATCTGCTAAAAGTCTCGGCCCAGTTTGAATCTCACTGACATCGGCCTCAAGGTTAGAGGTGTGGCTTTTACTTTAAAGCACTTTAAATGGTTACTAAGATAACAAAGCTGTATATCAATGCAATTCCATTACTATGCATGTATATGTGTCTAAGCAAAGGTTCTCTGGATCGTCTGCAGGTTGTGAAAAACGCTGCAACCAGGCTGTTGATAAAATCCTCCAAGTATTCACATGTGACACCATTGCTATTTTAGCTACACTGGCTTCCTGTTGAATTTAGAGTACATTTTAAGATCCTGGTCTTGACATTTAGAGCCTTGCATGGACTGGCACCACTCTACATCTCCGATCTGCTACAGCCCGATGTCCCTAGCAGGTCCCTGAGGTCATCTTATCAGGGCTTACTTGCTATAAAACAGACTAAGATGAGAACTAAGGGTGACAGAGCTTTTGCCACTGTGGCCCTGAGACTGTGGAACTCTCTCCCTCATACATTAAGAACTGTGGACTCAAAACTCTCCTTTTTAAAACTGTTTTTGGTTAAATTTCTGTTTATATTGTCTGTTTTACCCTTTTATTATTTGTTATCTTATGTGCAGCACTTTGTGATTCTGTCTAGAAAGGTGCTATATAAATAAAATTGTACTATTATTATTATTATTTAAAGGTCACACAGATATTTATTTTTTTATGTCCCTGTCAAAACTCCTTTAAATAAAACTGATGCCTGGTTTACCTCCCTCATCAGGGATAAAAGTGTGATTTAAATGCGTGTCCACTTCTAGGCCCTCTGTGATTAATACCAGTAATGAGTCATTTGTCACATTTCCAGGCCATTTTCATCACAAGCTGACAGGATTATATCTTGGGTTTCTATCTGTGTGTGATTTATATTGAATGTTATTAATTGCTTTAGTGTTAATGCTGAGATCAAAAGGGCATGAAGAGGAAGGGAGTGGAGGGGTGTTCATCTGATCTTTCAGCTTCACGATATCAACCTTCGAACATTTACTTACCTGAAGATATAAACAGTCCCTTGTATTCGTCCTTTCCCATCATTCATCAGGTCCAGTTCCAGTTTGTCTTGCTGACAGACACGCCGTACTCGCCACTGCCCCCTGAGCTCCTTCCCCCAGAGCCAGAGAAAGATCGTGACCCGAGGCCTTTCCCTCGCACCGTGGTCGCTGTAGAGGTTCAAGACCTGAAGAATGGAGCCACGCACTACTGGTCCCTTGAAAAACTCAAGTAATGCTTCCACTTTTCCTTCTTAAACTATTCCTGAGTTTATTTACAATACATACATTTAAATCCTGAAGCTCCAATTGAGACATGTTTGACACATACTTGAGGTTTTTTGTTGTTGTTTGTTTTTTTTTTCAAATTGGTTATTTTTAAAATGCTGTTAAACAGGTGTACCTAATAAACTGGCATCGTCTATCACTGAAAGACCATTCTCAACAATAATAATGATAATAATAATAAAAGCCCTAACTTCAGATTTTAACTGTAATTTTAGAGTAACTAACCTGTATAAGAAATAATTTACCAAAAGATATTTTAAGTATTTTAAACTTTCTTTTTCCTTTTTTTGTTTGTATCTATCTGCTTTTGTGCTAATTTATTTTTTTTGTGTGCCTCTTCTTATATTTCCTGTACCAGGAATGCAAGAAAGACACAAAGAGCTATGATATCAGCGTCTGTACACCCAGCAGTCTCTGCCTTCTGACTTTTAGGAGCTCTATCTTTCTCATCGCTCTTCCATTAAAATGACTCGCTTGTCATTTGCAGGCAGAGGCTGGACCAGATGAGAGCGATGTACGACCGCGCTGGAGAAATGGCCTCCACGCACCAGGAGGATTGTGAGGGCACTTTGACAGGAAACGACCCCTTCTATGACCGTTTCCACTGGTTCAAACTCGTGGGGAGGTATGTAACGCAGAACCAACAGAAGCGTACGGTGCATCACGTTCACTCGTGTTCCACTTCCCACTTTCATCCTCTGCCATTGAAGTTACATGCACCAGCGTTTTCACACATGTGGGCCTCGTGTTTTATTATTTATGTCTGTTGGTGTTTTGCTCCTCGCAGAAATCCTTCATTTTTATTTTTTTGCTGTTGATTTTATTTTCCCACATGATTTCATGTCACATATCAACTTTCCTTTTTGTATTTATTATTTTATTTGATGTCACATTTGAATCCTGTGTTGCTTTTTGTAGTTTGTTTTTTTTATCCTGTGTATCATTTTGCTGTGTCTGTTCTCACATGTCACTCCCATGTTGATATCCGCCTGTAATTCATGCAAACACTTGTTAATAGCATTGTGGATTTGGATAATGTGGAACTTTGAGGCATTTTTGTATTCTATCCTCTTTTCATTCAGCCTGTGTGAGACGATTTGTATGTTAATCCTTTAAAGTGACGTTTCGTTTTGGTTTAAAATAGTCATGTTTCTGTAAACCGCTGTCACACTGTTGGCTTAATACCTGCTGCCTATGAATTGAATCCTACAAATTTATTTGCATTAACTCTTCACATTATTCTGTGTAGCTGATAATTGTTTACATTACCTACTTCCTGCTGGTTAGTGTCCAGCTATGTGTTTTATGTTGTTTGAGGAAGGAAATGTTTGTTTCTGAAAGTGAAGTGTCACATCGATGCCGTGCTCACTGAGCTGTTTTAACTCTATTGCTCCACTCTTACCTATCCTTGGTTCTCGCCACTCTTCCCAAACTGCCGCCCCCATCAGCTCCCCCATCTTCCACGGTTGCGTCAATGAGCACCTGGCTGACCGCACACCCTCTCCTACTTTCTCCACCACCGACTCGGAGATCACGGAGATGGCGGACGAGCGCCAGAGCGAGATGTCTGACTTGATCGACGATGAGGCGTTCGTGGACGACACGAGCTCAGACGCCGGCACCGAGGAGGGCTCGGACATCTTCAGCGATGGCCAGGACCCCTTCTACGACCGCTCCCCCTGGTTCATCCTGGTGGGAAGGTTGGTGACCGTGGCGTTCACATACAGGCTGGGGCAGGAGTTAGGAGCTGATGTTGGCTTGGTTTATTTTTATTTGCGTGTATGCAGATACAGAGCAAAGAGAAACCAGTGAAGAAAATAGGAAAAACTGAGGATGTACTGGATTACGCCCTGTGACGGTGCAGAAATAGATTTTGGATAGTTGATAGTTTCGCATCGAGCAGCAGTGCAGTGAATAGATGTAAAGGGACAAAATGCACCAACATTATTATTAAACAGTTAGAAGATCAGGAGCTTAAAATGTGAGTAAACACATGTGCGCAAATGACTTCCTGGAAGAGTCGGATCATGTTTTCAGAGCAGTTCGAGATAATTCGGGCACTTTTTGGACGTAATAGGATTAGTCACACTTTTAATTTAGACTGAGTCCCACAAAAAAAGCCACCATCTTTATCCATCCTCCCAGCGTGATGTCTCATTCCCCGCCACCATCACAGTGCTGACTGCATTAACTGCCATCTGTGTTCGAAATACATGTATTTGCTGTGTGAAAGCTGATTGGCTATTTGTCATCTTATGTTGTTGTTGTTTTTTTTTAATCCTCTAAATCTTTTTTTTCCTCTTTATTTCTTTTATTTATTACATTGTGATTACATCATTATGTTCTTATAACCTTGTCTGCTTTAACAGTGTACATGTGATGGATTGTAGTTCATATTAACTGACCAGTAGTTGGTAGTTGTCACTCAATCGGGCTCACTGGGATTTGTTTTAATTCATTGTTGTGAAATGCTGCAGCAGCTCACGTTGCACCCACGCCGCAGCCTCAGTGCTGTAAACATAATGGCTACTTTAAAAAAACAAAACGACTCTCCCGCCTAAGAAGAAGAAGAAGACGACAGATCAGTGCAGCCAGACTGAGCTGAACTAAGCTCGGCTAACCTGCGTCACTGTGACTTCAGAGAATTTACAGATTCATATCTTTCCTCCATCTTAGCCTCGAGTCTCCCTGCACTGGGACAGCAGACAGTTAAAAAAAAAAAGAGTAGGCCATTAGAGGTACAGCAAAACAAATCAAACTGTCAGTGAGTGCGTGCGTAAGAGACTAACACGGCCATAACGCAGCACAATAAACCACCCTGTTACAGGCTTTACCGCCGCAGCCCCGGCGATCCGTCACCACCCTGTCACGCAGTTTAAAAATAAAACAGATGGTTTGAGCTGCTGCAGATTTCAGCGCCCCGGAGCATGTTTGAGTTTATATTCCCCCCCTTGTTTTGTTTTTCTTTGGTCCTTAATTTATATTTTTGCTTCTCCTCACATAAATGTCACTAATATTTTGCAGTATGTTATTGTAATTATTAATATGTGCTAAACACTCAAAGCGATTGTGCGCAGGGTGTTTGAATTGCTGTCAGTCTGTATATGTTTTGTAGAGACGTCAGAAAACCGTCTGTGACACTGCTCAGATCTCCTTTGGGATCCGACAGATATCAGCAGTTTAGTGAACGCCACCGTGAATCGGATGTTGATGTTTTCTGTATCTGAAAAATGCCGCAGCTGTTTCCAGACTGCACCGCGCTCAGGTTTTCATATCTCTCTCCTCTTTTTTACTCTCAGAGCTTTTGTGTACCTGAGTAACCTGCTGTACCCTGTACCTCTGGTTCACCGTGTTGCCGTAGTAACAGAGAAGGGCGAGGTGCGTGGCTTCCTGCGCGTAGGGGTCCAGGCTATAGCTGGTGAGTAATTAATGAGATTCTTTAGTGAGTGAGCCTACTGGGGGAGATAAAAGCACGCTTATTGCTCTTTATTAAATATGAGCGCCCCTGTATTTGGGCCATATGAAGTTTCCAATTTTTATGCTATTTAAATGGTAAATGTAACTGCTTTAATGTTCAGTAGCAGCATGGCAGCATATTGAAGAGCCTTTTTTTAAGTCACTGATACAGTGGCAAAGAAAAGATTCCTTAGATTCGGTGTATTCCTTTTGATCCGTGTTGACAGTTTAAGTCATCTGTGTCTGAGATAGATCCTGATTAGAGGAGGGTTTTTCTCTTTGTAGCTGACGAGGAAGCTCCAGACTACGGGTCAGGAGTGAGGCAGTCAGGAACCGCCAAGATTTCCTTTGATGATGAATACTTCAAAAAGGTAAGCCCAGAGCAGCATGTTTTCTGTGATGATGTGTATTATTGTGGTTCAAACTTCAAGTCATTGCTGTTCCTTATTTTTTATTTTTTCCTGTGTATTCAAGTCAAATAAAATGGCCTTAAATGGCCAATGCCTCACACTATAGCTAGGTTTGGAGATTCAGTGTTGCTCCTCCAGCTATATGCTAATGTCTTCCTCTGTTTCAATCAGAATGACTTCCCCTCCAAGGTCATAACCCGCTCCGGGTTGTCCCTGGAAGAGCTGCGCATCGTAGAGGGTCAGGGTCAGAGTTCAGAGGTCATCACACCCTCAGAGGAGCTCAACAGAATCAATGACATGGGTAAGGCTGCCACTTTCACCTCTATACTCGTAAATTTCCACCTATGAGCCCCAGTGTTAAGCGCAGATGGTCCTGTTTAATGAAAAAGGAGGACTTAAAATGTTTTGTTATGGAAATTTGGCAGTTTTTCTTGTCCTGTGAAGGAACGTGTATGAAAGCTATTTGATGAGTGAACAGCAGAATCCTCTCTATAAATTACATGCGTGAATGTGTGCTTGTTTAGAAGTCAAATGGAGACTGCAGAGTCACAGGTGCAGTCAAGGGTCTGTCATCCAACAAGCCTACTAACCTTTCACTGTGGCTTTCTTTAGACCTCAAGCTGGGTAACATTGGAGAAACCAAACTAAGTCATGGTGATGATCTGGCAAGCCACTTGGAGGTGGGCAGCGTCTTTACCTTCCGTGTCACTGTGCTCCAGGCCAGCGGCATCCCGCCTGAGTATGCTGACATCTTCTGCCAATTCAAGTGAGTGCACGATCCTGAGAATACAGTAGTTGAGTCGGCTTTCCTTTACACTTCTAAAGGGTTTCTAAATGTCTTTCAAAGTTTTTTCTACTCATTTTCAGTCCAGTCATTGTATTTGAGGTACATGAGAAAAACACCAACTTTAAAATGTATGTTTAAACACTTTGAGTCAGTGGTGTGGGAGATCTTGTCAACACTGATTAAATTAAGAATGCAAAAAAGTACCATCAGATTTCGATCCACCGCAAAAACACACAAAGGAGCATTATCAGTCATAGATTGGTCTCAACAGAGCCCAGAACCTTAATGACGCAGTGTGAGATCATCTAAAGGCAGCATCCAACGAAGAGCTTTGAATGTCCTTTAAGAAGTCTGGAAAACTACTTAAAGAAATGACAAGAATGCTTGGCTAAGAGTTCAGGCTGTGTCGAAGAATAAAGGTGGTCATGCCAAACACTGACTTTAAAGAACATTAGAATTGTAGTCAAAGGAGTTTGCAAAGAAAAGCGTCTGGACTTCTTTAAGTTACTTGAAGACGTTTCACCTCTCATCCGAGAAGCTTCTTCAGTTCTAAGGTCAAATGGTGGAGAGTCCCAGATATAAACCTAGTGGGAGTGTCCCCCCACAGAGAGACAAAGGGACCCCCTGATGATCCTCTAATCGCCTGAGCCAAGGTGTGAAACTGGGTGTGGGTCCCAATCAGCCAGAGTTTCGGGTGAGTTCATTGTGAGTTCACAACCATTGAACCATTTGACCTTAGAACTGAAGAAGCTTCTCGGATGAGAGGTGAAACGTCTCAAACCTCTCATAAAGAAGTCCAGACGCTTTTCTTTGCAAACTCCTTTGACTACGATGACCTGGATGACTGAGAACCTCCACAGACATTAGAATTGTACAAACTCTGTTTCTTATATACCAAATTTCCATCTATGTTTGCACGTTTCAATAAACTGCTGCACCCGTTTCCCATTTTATTGGGGGAAAAAAACTAAACAAGGGAAAACTTTTGCACAGTAGTTCATATTTGTTTGAAGCAGACTGGTTAAGTGGAAAATGCAGTGCTGTAAAATCAGCTTTTTAACTAAAGTATGGTGTTATTGCTGTAAATTTACACCAAACTGTTTTGGTTTAAAAGTCGTTTGATTTGAGTTCAGGGTTTCAGCTTTATCTCTAAATATATACTCAGAACGAGGATTCAAAATTCTAGCTAAATCCTGGAGTGTGACTTTCAGCTGTCTGTCGTTATCTCGTGTAAAAAGAAATGCAACCCGCTGACATTCATTTATGTTTCTTTCCTCAGTTTCTTGCACCGTCACGATGAGGCTTTTTCCACCGAGCCTCTGAAAAACACTGGCAAAGGAGCTCCTCTGGGCTTTTACCACGTCCAGAATGTGAGCGCACACACACATCTGCACCTACACACACTAACTGTGCTTCAACGATTTTATTCCAACTCAGTTTGTCAAACCCTTTTTCTTTTTTTTTATCTGTTGGAGCAGATTTCTGTCGAAGTTACAGAGTCTTTTATTGAGTACATCAAGAGCAAGCCCGTCGTGTTTGAAGTGTTCGGCCACTACCAGCAGCACCCGCTGCACCTCCATGGCCAGGACCTGATCAGGTTGGTGGGGGTCAAACAGCAGATCCAGTCATGCAGTGATAATTCATATTTAATGCAGCAGATTTTGTTAGAAGTGGGTAAACGGTTGCATTGTAATCACCTAATTTTATATGCATATGTAAATAAAAGGTATTTTTATTATGTCAACAGTCCTCCAACACCATCCAGGAAGTACTATCCTATTCCCATGCCTCTGTCCAAACCAGGTGAGTGTTTCCACATCAATGTGTTCTTTGCCGTCAATAATTTTATGTTGATTTTTTTCTTGCATGCCTCATGTGTCCTTCCACTTTTTTTCCTTGTCATTTCTCGCCTCCTTTGGATTTTTTTTTTTTTGTCTCTTATTCAATCATTCCCTCACAATTTATATAATCCTCTTACCCAACTCTGTCCTCCTTCCTCTTCTTTTGCCCTTCAATCTCTCTCACCGTTCATCAATATCGCACATCCAGACCATACCCGTAAGATAGAGTTGATCCGCTACCTCGTGAGCGGCTATGTGAACGGCAAAGTGCTGGACACGCTGTCCGAGCAAGCCAACTCCCTGGCGTCCTCTGCTCTGGCCAGTTTGGAGGACGAGGCTGACCAGCTCTCTCACTTCCCCTTCCTCCCAGTGGCCAGTGACCCTGTGCTAATTGTCCCCAAGCATCATGGTTGGTACAGTGGACTCTGTTGTAGCTAAAGAGCCAGACATTTGATGCTGGTGCTGTAGTGATTAGAGTAGTGCTGTGCTCTTATAGTGCTCTGTGGCTGCAGGCGGTAGCACGGTAAAGCTCTGCTGTTGTTATGAGTGCTGCACCTTGCTGCAGGTGCGGTTAGTGCGGTCACAATGTCCTCCTGTTGTTTAGAAACTGTCCTGAGGAGACAACTTCAGGGTCAATGACATATCATTCACACCATATAAGGCGTAAATACAGCAGTTTTCAAGTGTAATAACATTCCTTTCGATCATATTGAGCATAGACGATTGCAACTGTGAGCTTTAGCGATTAGCCCGTTTCAACAGGACTGTAATCCCGATGTGTGAGACAGCAGGGTGTTGTAATCTGTGATTTACTTCCTCCTAACATTTCAGTATGCTTCCAGTATCTATCCTCTGTGATTACTGGCTCAGTATAAAGAGTCAGCAGTGTTTTCACATCACCTATCCATCCTCCATTTAGTCACCCAAAGCATGTAGTAAATACTCCTGACTTTTATTCATCTTCTCTGAAATTCAGACAAATTCCCGCTTGATAACATTGAGCTTCTGTCTGTGTGTGCCAGTTCCAGCCACCAAGTTGAACACCATCACCAAATCCAACCTGGGTCAGTGTGTCAGCAAGTACGACCTGCTGGTCTGGTTTGAGATCAGCGAGCTGGAGCCCACTGGAGAGTGAGTATCCACCTGGAGTGTTATATTCCCACACAAGCTTTAAAGAAACAATAAAAATTATCTCCACAAAGAATATTATAAATTGGGATGTTGTGTGACCTTCCTGCCTCCATGCACAGGTACATCCCAGCCATTGTGGATCACAGTGGAGGCCTGCCCTGCCATGGTACCTACCTGCTGCACCAGGTACAGGATTGATCCACATGTTCTTTTCTTATTATTCACACAGTGGTAACTGCTTCCTTTGTACACAGATTGACTGAGTTGAATATCTTCTTTTAAAGCGTAATGTTGCTCTAGCTGTGCTCACTGTGATCTTGAGCTCCTGTTATGTTTGCTGCAGGGGATCCAGCGGAGGATCACAGTGACCCTCATCCACGAGAAGGGCAGCGAGCTCCATTGGAAAGATGTTCGTGAGCTGGTTGTAGGTGAGCAGCCTACCTTTAGGGTCTAGTCGTGCTATACCTCTGTGTAGAAAACAAAAAACCCAAAGCACAGAAACAATGTTTTATAGTGTTTGTGTGCTTTTGATAGAGGAAGACAGGACAGAACATCATTAAAGGGATTTGACTTTGTGAGATCACACTGAAAACACACCACTCGGTTCTGTCTGAGATATTTTCAGTCTGGAAAGATGAATCTGTCTGGCTTTAGGCTGCTTCTCACTTTTAGCAGTTCATGCTGTAGCTGTAGCTGATGGACCAAATAATTACATTTCATATTTTAGACATTCAGCTGCTGACTCTGAAGCCAACAGGGCTCTTGAGTGTGGATGATTGTGTTGGTACTGGATGCTGTGATAAAACAGCTGTTAGTGGACAAACTGCCTGCTGGCTGAGCCTCTCTATTGAGAGCTATTCCAACACAAGAAGGTCTTATAACTGTTGTGTGGATCTGCCTCACCAGGTCGTATCAGGAACAAGGCTGAAGTGGATGATAGCGCAGCCGATGCTGTCCTGTCCCTTAACATCATTTCTGCCAAGAACATCAAGTCATCCCACAACAACAACAGGTAGGTGAAACTCCCACACTGAGTCAGTTTGAGTGAGAACACACTAGTCACAACATTTGAAGGTGTAAAATGTTTCCATTCACAGATCTTTGAAGGTTTCTTGTTGCCTTCTTGCTTGTATTCTCTTCGGTTATTATCATGAAACACATTCATTTTTCTTAAAAAAAGCCAATGTGTTACATTGTTACACTGTGTTCTTTTGTCATGATTGAGTTCCTGCCATGTAAAAAAATCATTCGTTGATGCTTTGTAGTAACCTTATCAGTTAAAACTATGCATGTATCCTTGTCTGTATATTCTCTGAAGCCACATTGGAGTCATTGCACGACCTTTTCCATTTTCGCTGCTGTTACTTTGCTTCATTGTCTTTGTTGCCTGACTCTTTGTGCTTCTCTCTCTCTTTTTTTTT